GGCACAGCCCTGCCAGAGCCAGAGCTCGGTGCTGGATCCCCGCTGAGCAAAGCCCACCCCACCCCAGGGCCTGGCAGCTGGGGATGGAGCAGCGCTGGCCAGCCTGGGGCCACTGTGGTGGTATGGGAGCACCCCTGCCTTGCCTTTAGCTCTGTGCCAGGGCTTTGCCAAAAACGCCATCGCCCGGTGTCCTGCTGCCTGGGTGCCGGTCAGCATGAGGTGGCTCCGGCTCGGCTTTGAAACGTGGAGGAGAGCTCACGGGGCACCGGTTGCTCTGGTTGCTTGCCCTGTGGCGATGCTTTCCACCTGGGGAAGCTCCCCCTGCTCTCAGCAGATGGGCATTATTATTGCTGCTGATTATTTTTCCGGCCCAACACTTGCTGCCCAAGTTTCAGCTTGAGCAGAGTGAGGAGTGAGTGCCCGGCTGAGAGCCACCATGGGCCAGAAAGGTGCAGGTCCAAACCACTGGTGTCTTTTAGACCAGTGACATCCCCCCACGCTGTTGTTGTCAGCGTCTTTGCACCACTGGTCTAGGATGGGGCTGATAGAGGTGCCCGTGCATCACCGTCCCAGGAACGAGCTGTGGGTTGTTGCCTCCCCTCTCCTCTCCTCCTTTTTTTTTTTCTGGTGCTGTCCCTGAACTCATCTGCTGACTTGCCATTCCTGTTGGCCCTGATGCTAGCGCCAGGGTTAAAATAAAATATATATATATGTATCTCTCAGCTGATGTGGTGACTGCGGCATCGTGCTGCTGGAGAGGAGTGTGGGAAACCTTGCAAGGGGAACGGGGGACTCACCCTGCCCCAGGGCTTGCTCCTGTCCCCGTGCTGCCGTCAGCCCAGTGGGGTAATGGGGGCTGAAATGCCACCCGGCGCCGCCGAGCTGCACCAGTGCTTTGGGGAGCAGACAGGGCTGGAGCGGGGCTTGGGAGCCCCTTCCCTGCAGCCTCCGCACCCAGGGACTTGCATCTCAAGCCACTGCCCCAGCATGTCCTGTGGATGAGCCGAAGGCATTGCCAGTATACAGCTTGCAGGAGAA